CTGCTCCGCGCCCGGGAGCGCGGCGGCGGCGGTGCCGAGCTGGGCGGCGGCGCCCAGCGCGGTGAGCGCGGTGCTGCGCAGCCCCAGCGCGGCGTACAGCGTCCCGAGCAGCGCCGCCAGGTACAGCACGGCCCCGCGCCCGGGCTCCCGCAGCAGCCGGGCGGGCCCGCGCAGCAGCGCGGCGGCGACCAGCGCGCACAGCGAGCCGAGCGACCAGAGAAGCGCGAACTTGCGGGCGCGGAGCAGCAGCAGCGGCACGCACAGCGCGGCCAGCCCGAAGCACAACGCGGCCAGCAGCACGCACAGCGCGCTGCCCACCAGCCGCTGCCAGCGCGAAAGCCCCGGCAGCCACGGGTCCGCTTCGCCCGCCCACGGCCACGCAGTGCTGCCCGGGGCGCCAGGGAGAGCGCCCGGTGGGAACGGGTTCAGCGCGCCCAGCCAGGCCCGCAGCCCGCCGCTGTCCCCCGCCTCCGCTTGCGAGCCGCCGGCGGGCGGCGACGCGGGGCCCGCGCTGGGGCCGCCGGCGGCGGCAGCCTTGGACTGCGCGAGGTATTCGTGCAGCTGCCGGCCCAGGTCCGCCATGGCGGGGCCGGCACCGGCACCGGGCGCTACAGCGGGGTCCCGGCCCGCCCCGCCGCCATCTTGCGGGGGAGGAGCCGCATCCGGGCAACGGCGGCAACAGGTGCGCGCGGGGGCGCGCGCGTGCGCGGGAGGAGCCGAGGGCGGGTCGCGCGTGAGGGGCCGCGAGGGCTGTGAGGGCTCGGGCGGGACCCGGCGGAGGGGGGGCTGCTCTGGGGCCGCTGCGCTGTGGGGCCGCGGCGGGTGTGCGGTTCTCTGGGGCATCTGAGGGCTGTGTTGCCTACGAGGACTGTGAAGGCTGCGAGGCGTAGGGCATCTTGGAGGACCTTGGGGGCTGTGAGGGCTTTTAGGGGTTCTGAGGCCTCGCCTTTGAGAGCTCTGAGGGTGTAATGGCCTCAGTCCGCTGGCGGGTTGGGGGGAGGGTAGTTTGATTTAGTCTGGGCGGTGCACGGAAGAAAGAACAAAATTCTAGGGAGGTTTAATAAATTTTTGCTACAAACTTCGGGACGTTAAGGTAGAACAAGGTACTTGGCAAATTTTAAAACGACATCCAGAAAAAGGCACTTCAGAACCTTTAACTTATCCAGACACAACAACGCACTTAAGCAGGTATCACTGGAATTTTTTTAGTCTGGTTTACAATACATTTTGAGAAGAAGTTAGGATAAGAAAGAGAAAGGAGAGAGAAAGGTGTATAGTCACCACACTAGGATCCAGCGTGGTCTCAGCTGCTTTTAAATCACAGCGGAGCGCACCCCGTGGCACACGTGTCGCTGTCCTTTATCTGCTTCATTCCGCTGGGGTCCCCCCAGACAGGCACCTGCGCTTTAATGTTTCCCGGGGGCCCCCCACGCTGGGCCAGCGCCGTTCCGGGGCTCGCTGCGGGCTCTGCGGTCACTGCCGCTCTGGGGCAGCGCTGGAGCGGTGGATTGTTGTGCAAATACACTTTGGAAAACGGAAGGTCAGGTCAGTGAACTCTTTCTGTGCTGGCACATTTCTTTTTTGAGAGCTGTGGAGGACGTTTTCAGCTTTGGATGTTCATTTTTGGTGCTTTCGAGAGAACCTTGGCACATTTACGTCTTTTTCAAATACACAGCGCCGTATAGTGGAGGTTCACCAATGTCATCGTTCAAATGTTCCACTAGGTGGAGGTGTGTACTCATAAAACGACGACCCAAAGTGCGGATCCAAAGGTGAAAACGTCTTGTCAAACGAAATGTGTCAGGACAGAAGGGTTTTGCTGACCTTCCCCTTTCATGTGCGAATAGCCTTCCAGGTTTTGTTTTTGTTGTGTTCCCCGTTGCTTTTGTCTGGCCGAGGAGGGCGTTAAACCGCGGAAACCTGTTTGCCGCAGTACCTTCTTTGTTCTACTGGGCCACACGTGCAGCACGGGAATGGGAGCCCTTTTTTGTTTTGCCCTAGGGGTGCGAGGGCCAGATAACATCTTGCTTTTGTTGGTTTTGTGGGTAAACCATTTTTCCATGTATTGTTGTGTTATTTGCAAGTTTTACCTCAGTACAGTTGCGACTCAAGCATTTTTAACGTATCACGGGCTTGTTTTCTTCGATTTCCCCCTGCACTATTGTAAGGGAGTGGCTCAAACAGTCTTAAATTCTCCCTGCTGAGTTTTTAAAACCATCTCTGTGAGGAGTCGCCCTGAGCCACCCCTATTCCTGCGAGGGCTCTCCCTAAGCCCCCCGCCCCTGTGAGGGATTACCCAATCTCTGTGAGGGCTCCCCCTATCCTTGTGAGGGATCTTCCCAAGCCCCCTTTTCCCTGCGAAGGATCTTTCCGAGCCCCCCCATCCCTGTGAGGGGTCTCCCTCGAGCCCCCTCCCCCCGGCACTCACAGGCTGAAGAAAAGCTTCTCGTTTATTCCCAACACACAGGAAGCCACAGACAACACGAGGATGGCGGAGCTGAAGAAGACATGGGCGCGCTTGTAGAGCGTTGGGAACCCAAGGGAAGCAGGAACGCTGCAAAACCCACTGCCCACTGAGGGAAGAGACAGTGAGGATGAGCTGAGGGAGACTTGGGGAGCTGGTGGGTTTGGGAGGGCCAGGGGTAGCTCCCACTCAGCAGGAGAAGAGCAGCATGGTGCCCAGACCCAGCCAGCTGTGCAGTGAGTACATGTTGGGTGTCCCGTGGGAATTGTGGAAGTGGAACACGGCCACCAGCCCAGCATGATCAGGATGAATGCTCCCAAAGCCAGGCTGCCGTGCAGCACCTTCCAGGGAGGCTTGGGGCTGCTCCCGGTGTTGGGAATGCGGTAAACCAGGGCAGCTGTGAGGGAAAAAGGTCAGGAAGGAGTTGTGCCAGGCTGGCCTTTACCTTCACTGGGCACCATGTCATCTGCACCAGGAACACTGGGGCCAGCTGCTGGCCTTATCAAGGAAGAGCTCTGTCATACAATATCAGGAACCCACCCCAGAATTCAGATGCCATCTCCAGAGTAGAATACATCTGGGGGCTGCTCCCATGCAAAAGGTGTCAGGACAGAAAAGTGTTTCTGGCCTTTACATCCCCTGGGAAGCCTAAAATCTGCACCACCAACACTGGGGCTAGGTGCTGTCCTTCCCAAGGAAAAGACTGTGTCATACAACATCAGGAACTGACCTCTGAAACACAGATGCACCCTCCAAAATAGAATACATCCAGGGATTGCTCCAAAAGAAAAGGTGCCAGGACAGAAAGCTGTTGCTGGCCTTCACCTCCCCCAAGAAGCCAAAACACTAGGGCTGGGTACTTTTGTTCCACAGGAAAGGCAATGTTATTGTCTTCCAGTAGCCCACCTCTGAAATCTGGATATCACCTCCAAAACTGAGTTCTTTTGGGGATTCCTCCCACACAAAATATGCCAGGACAGAAAGCTGTTGCTGGCCTTTACCTTCCCTGGACAGTCAATCATCTGCATCACCAACACTGGGGTGAGGCATCGTACTTCCCAAATTAAATGTACAGCCACAGTTTTCAGGAACCCACCTCTGAAATTAGGATACTAGACCAAAACAGAGTAAGTCTGGGGATTGATCCCACACTAAAGGAGCCAGGACATAGAGCTGTTCCTGGCCTTTGCCTGCCCTGGCCACCATTTCATCTGCACCACAACACTGGGTATGGCAGCTTTTCTTCTAAGGGTAAAGTACCACCCTCACTCCCTGCAGGTGAGGGGGTGCTCAGGGGAGGTAAAGCTCAGTAACAGCTTTCTGTCCTGGCCTGTATTCAATTCTGCAGGTGGTATCTGAATTTCAGATATGGGCTCCTCAATACGTATCAAATTACCTTTCCTTGGAAAGTAAAGCACCTAGCTCCAGGGTTGGTGATGCAGATGAGAGGCTGCCCAGAGGTGATGAAGGGCAGCATTAGCTTTCTGTCCTGGTACCATTTTATGGGAGCAGTCCCTGAATATATTCAGTTTTTGAGCCTGGATCCAAATATGGGAGGTTGGCACCTGAAAATTATAGCAGTACATTTATTTTGGCAAGGCTAGTACCTAGCCCCAGTGTCATGGGGCAGATGGTAGGGTGCCCAGAGGAGATAAATTCAGCAACACCTTTCTGTCCTGGAACATTTTTCGTGGGGCCAATTCCCAAAATGGTTCAATTTCTGAAGTTCTATCAAATTTCAGAGGTTGGCTCTTGAGAGATGATAACGTTACTTTCCCTTGGGAAGCAAAGCATCCAACCACAGTGTTCATTGTGCAGCCGACAAGCTGCACTGAGGAGGTAAAGGCTAGCACCAACTTTCTCTCCTGGCACTTTTTGTGTGGGACCAATCCTAGGAACTATTCCATTCTATCCAATTTTCCAATTTCCAGAGGTGGGCTCCCAGAAGGTGATAACATTACCTTCCCTTGAGAAGGAAAGCACCTACCCCAGGGCTGCTGGTGCACATAATAGGGTACCAATGGGAGGTAAAGGCCAGCAAGACCTGGGTACATTTTTTTAATCAGAGCAATGCTCAGATATATTCAATTTTGGAGCCCCACCATGCCTCTTGTCTCCGAGTACCCGCTCGGTGCCTCTTGTCCCCCATCACCACCCGCTGCTACTTTGTTTCTCACCTGTACACCCGGTCTCGCCTCGTCCCCCCCTTCTCCTCCCCCATCAACCTCTCTCATCTCTCAGGCAGCGATCAACCCTGTGCGCTTTTTTTCTGACGCTTCCCCATCCGTTTGGATTTAAAAAGGGGTAAATGCTTAGGTTTCTGAGGGTGTTTCCTCTCAAGTGTGAAAACAAACAGGTTTGGAAGACAGGAACTGGTTTGGAAACGAACACTGAAGGCACGAGCAGATGTGCTTGTCTGAGACAATAAAATGGATTTGGGTCCAATAAAGCACCTGAATACGACTGTTAAATACATATGTGTATGAAATTGTGGTACATGAACATATGGTGTGTGATGAGGCAAAGCAGCAGCTTTGCGATTAATGGTCACTCCCTGCAGTGATTGATAACCCAAATGTTATGGTTTCTCTCTCTATTCACATTGGGGGCTGTGGACTTGTGCTCCTTTCAGGATGCCAAGAGCTGTTTCATGCCCTGGCTTTGCTGAAGGTTTAGCTGTCTCTGTTGGTCATTTATCAGGTATATTTAAAAAAAGGTAGGCTTTGATGTCATGCTGTGCATATGGACAGCTGGAAGGTGGGGCTGGGGGAAGATGCGCTCAAGTTAAAGGTCAGCAAAAGATGAAATGGAGATAACCGAGTAGAAACCCTTTGAATTTTGAAATCAGAAGGAATAAATGTGGAGAACAAGCCTCCAAGAGCATCAGTAGATGTGTGAGGAAGGTGAGCAGAACCAGAACTGCTGATTCAAGACTCTTTCAGTCCTTTATTCCCCTAATTTGACTGTGGTCATCGGATATTTACAGCTCCCCTGCCGCTTCCAAACCTAAAACACCCCACTTTGCACCATGTCAACTTGTAATTGCTGCTCCCTGTTTAGCAGCTGGATGATGAAAAACTGGCAAGTTGGGACTGTGGGATATTAAATTCCATTATTGTGCCATCAGGATCACAAAGATCCTGCTGCAAAGATTGGGAGAACATTGAGGTTCTTGCCACATCTGACTATGCCTTGACTGTGCCTGACAGATTTTTACTGTTTTCAGTTTTCCCTTTTCCTGTTGCACTGTCCCTCCCCAAGCCCAGAGAGTGCTGGGACAGAGAGCATTGGAGGTTTTAATGAGGCTAATTCCACCAGTGTTAACCTTTGTGTCTGGAATAAACACAGAGCAGTAGTTATTAAGACAGCAGCCTTGGGATGCTTTCCAAAGCAGAGCTGGGGTGTTTTACCATTGGATATTTGCCCTGAAGCTATTCTGAGTGGGTTTAGGAACAAAAGAGACCAGGGCACAAAGGCCAGGCAACAGCAATGAGGATTTCACCACAGGGAGGGTCACTGCCATCCAGGTCCATCTGAAACCCAACAGTTTATTGCATGAGCTGCAGCTGAATGGAGGGCAGGGGGTGTTTGGGGTGAAAACAGGGCAGAAAAGCTTAGCTGAGGCATTAGTTCATCCTGCTCTGCTTCCTACAGAATGCTCCTGTTGCAAGGGAGGCTGTCCTAAGGGACAGAAGAGATGCAGAACCAAGTTAGAAAAAAACCAAGCCACCCTAAAAACAAACGTTGAAATTAAACTTAAAAGCTTGAATTTTTTTTTTAATAAATACAGTATTTGCTTAAAAAATAGAATATAATTAAGAATAACAACATCATAACTTTTGGTCACTTCTCTGGTGTTAGGATATTGGGGGGGTGGGAAAGGAGGAGGAAGAGAAAGAGAACATAGACAGTAGAAGGTGATGAGGAAACATGGATATTCCCAGCAAAACCCAGAGATAACAGCAGCCACAGCAATGCCCGTGGGCAAACGGAATGTCTCGCTCTCAGGACCAGGTGTTCAAGAACCCCCAGCACCAAAATCTGTCTGGGGACTGACATGAAGATCTGAATTTGAAGGAAAGGGGAAGGAACTGGAAGTCATGAGTTTTTAGCTGCCAGATCTGTTTTCTCAGTGGTGGGAGGGAACCTCACTTTGCTCCTTGAATTCTGCCCTCATTAAGCTGCTGCCTGATCCTCAGCAGTGGAGAAAGAGGAGAAGACAGAGTTTAAACTAGTTATCCCCCCAGCCAGTTTTTGGTCAGTGGGGTTCCCAAAGGCTCAGTGTGCTTCCCAGCTTTCCTATTCCTCCGATCCATGGAAAACAAGGAGGGAGAAACCCTACCAAAAATTTCATATCAAACTTATTTAGGTGACAAGCTTAACGTATTTATATGAAAAACTTAATGTTTTAAGTCCAATGAGAATTCTGTCTCAAAACTATGTAGAAGAAATCAGGCTTTATCCAAAAAAGGAGCACTTCAAGTGTAGTAAGGAAGGATAACATTTCAGGTTGTCAAGGAGTGTGAGATATGGCGCAATGTGGAAAATTCTCCTGAATTTTATGGAGGACTTCATCTTCAAAGCAAGTTCCGCCTAACTTGAGGTGGTTCAGGCGAGGCAGCACTTGCAACAAAGCAATAACAGTACCAAGGGAGACCAAATCATAGAGGTCGAGGCACAGGGTCTCCAGGTGCTCCAGTGTTGCAATAGAAACCAGCCCCTTGTTTGTCAGGAAGTAGGCATTGCTGATTTCCAGGTAGCGGAGCTGCTTCATGTGGCGCCCAATGAATACCATGGCAGCATCACCGATGATGCAGTGGCGGAGAATCAGGCGTTCCAGCTCTTCCAGGTGTGGAGCTGCTGCTTGGATCCCCATATCAGTGATGCGGTAGGTGCCACAAAGGCTCAGTGTCTTCAGGTGGTTCTGTGAGGAAATGTCAAGAAGATGATGGTCAGAAAAGGTGGGAATGCTGTGGATAGTGAGGTGTTGTACCTGTGGTGGTGGCACCAAAGGGGAGACGCAGAACCAGGCATCGGGAATGTCGCAGAGGTTCAGCTCCAGTGTGGTGACAGAAGAGGGGATGCTCTCGTAAGGGACGTGGCGGAGGTCTGTCTCGGTCAGGCACAGGCGATGCAGCTGGGGACAGTGCTTCCGGAGGGCAGCCAGCAGTGCCGGTGAGAGGAGCCGCTGCTTGCCGAGGGAGCGGGGCGTGCCCCGCATCCGCAGGGTGCACAGGCTGTCAGGGAGGCGGTGGCGGACCAGGTGCCACAGGGTGCGGCGGGTGATCTGCGGGGGGGGAAAGGGCCTGGCTGCAGGGGGTGGGCCGGAGAGGGGCACTCCTGCCCGCAGGGGGTGATCCCCCCGTTCCCCTCAGCTCCTGCCCGTAGTGGGTGATCCCCCCGTTCCCCTCAGCTCCTGCCCACAGCGGTAGGACGGGCGGCCCGTACCCGGTGAGGGCTCAGATCCACATGTGTCCAGACCGCTCGGTCCTGCGCCAGCTGCTGCCACCGCCGGCAGACCCTGCGGGGAGGCGATCAGCCGTCAGCGCCGGGGCGGGGAGGCGGAAAGCGGCCGGTGCCGGCGCCGGGGGGGCCCTACCTGGCCGCTCGCAGCCGGTCCCGCAGCGGCAGCAGCGCCAGGACCTGCAGCAGCACCGAGTCGGGCAGGGGCGGCCGCGCCGCCTCCGCCATCTTGGCCGTTACCAACAACAACCCCGGGCGCGGCCGTTGCGGCGGCGCCGCGTCACTGCCGGGGCCGCCCCGGGCGCCGCGGGCAGAGCGAGGCCCTCCGGCGGGTACCGGGAGGGCGCGGGGGCGGGGGGGGTGGGGTCGGGGCACCTCTCCGGCTGTAGGAAACAGCAGATCTGGAGCATGGCCTCCCACTTCCTGGGAGATGCTCTTAGCAGCAGATGGCCACTTCTCCCACTCGGACCTCTGGCTTACCTGCCGGAGCGCGGGAGGGTTTTGCAGGCATCCAAGACCAGTTTCACAAAGGCGCACTTATTATTTCAGAGAGAAGGTCAGGTCCGTGCTTGTTCTCAGTGGTGAGTTCTCAAGCCTATGCACGTTGTTTGCTGTGAACTCCTCTTGGCATCTTACTTTCCCTGTGCACTTATTGGCTTCTAATTCAGCTCTGCACAGTCACCTGCCAGAGCCAGAGCCGCATCTCGGCTGCTTCAGGTGCTCAGCAGATCAGGGTTGAACGGTTCACCTACTTTGGCTTTATGCTGATAGCCGTTGGCATTGTAATTCAGAGGTAGCAGACTCCATAAGCCATAAAAATCCTTTAGGAACTGCTTCTGTTATTTAACTTGCCAAGAAAGAGTATTTTAAGATTCCTTGCTTGAGGCTGAGGGTGGCATTCCCATGTGGAACACAGCCCTTGGCAAAGCACATGCCCCTTGGAAACCAGAGGAAAACCTCTGACCTGAGCTGTTTTCCCCAAGCCAGTGAGCACTGCTCAGTGTTTCCCCCCCCCCCCACACTGAGCAGCGCTCCCAGGGCTGGCACCACCTCTGCTCCAGAGCAGGCAGTGCTCGACATGCTAGAGCTGCTGTGACTGCACTGCAAACCAAGCAGGAGGTGGGAGTAGCTGGCTCTTTCCCCCCATCCAGTCCAGTAGGCACAACCCTCAGAGAGGCATTTATTTATAAATAAATAACATAATTTATTCTACTTGTCTGAGGATGGAGGGATCCCTGTGTTCACAGCTGCTTGGGCGATATTCAAGTCAGCAGGATTTTATAGAGTTTGTATGCAGAATGTTCTCAGAGCACAAAAAGCAGGGCTCTTTTGGGTTTAAGTGCTCTTAGGAGCAGGTCACATCACTTTCCTGTTGGTATTTCTGCAAAGAGCTTGATCTGTACTCAAGCTTCGTGTCCTGAAAGCTCTTTCCAGGGTTACTCTTAGAACAACTATTCTTTTCCCTGGATAAAATGGTTTGAATTTCATATGATGGTGTGCAACTTCTAAGAGGAAAACACAAGACCTACTGTATGTGATTAAATGTAATTTTTTTACTTCCCAGCATCTTCCATCTCTTGTTTAAGCATTCATGCTTCAACATGCACTCGCTCCACAGTAAATCAATGCTCTTCTTCCTATTAAGTGACCCAGACTAATCATCCTGAACTTTGGCAATAAATAGTTTACATCTATTTTAAAATTTAGTAAATAATTGTTTCAAAATTATTTTGATTGCATCTTTATCTTTTTAATCTTTTATCACACAGAAAGGCCATGTTACCCAAAACCCACATCTGAGCTGCCCACAACTATGTCACTAGGCTATGCCTGACAAATCAGGAGCATGGCCAGTAAAACTCCTCAGTGCTTAGGCAGCCCTTCTGTCATCTAGACTACACAATTCTAGAATTTCCACTGCATCTGCTTTTTTTTTTTTGATTCAGAGACAGGGAAAAGAATTAAATTAGCATTGCTGTCTCCCAGTTCTGTAATGACTCTTGAAGTTTTTGGGAATTATGCCTTGATCAAGAGCTGGGGCGTAATGGGATCACATTTAGTTTTGGAGTAAAGCTGGAAGTTGTTCACATTCCTTATACAGGCCTCAATAGCTCAGGAGAAAAGTGCAAACTGATAAGATGAAATAGGGTGACAAACATCCAACTCATTCCTCCTCTTTTTCATGACTGTGGTGTATGATTTCAGTGCAATGTCCTCTCCTTCTTGAAAGGCTCAGTGGATCAAAGTTTATATGCACATATTCCAAAATGCTTTATAAAACTACTTCCTAGTTATAGCTGTCACTCTTTTTTCTCTCACTCACAAGAGCTGCTATCCAGATGTTTGTTCCCGTTGCATCAACAGGGGTTGTTCGTGTTTCAGATGGAGTCAGGGACAAAACCAACTTTTTACAAGGCAGAGGTGAAGGATAAAACCAAACTAAGCAATCATGCTATGATGCTTTTCCAGTGTTGATGAAAATTTGCAAATCACTGGCACCAATTGAGGCAAGAGGGTGGGATGCACAGTATAGACTTCCAACCATTTGAGTCCTTCCAGCTTTGGGGCTGGAAGGCTTGTGCTCCCACTCTGCCGCACTCCCAGGCAGTGCTACGTGGCCGGGAAGGGGCAG